ACGGTGCAGCACATCACGCAACCCACCCGCATAACCCCGCGCTCAATGCCATCATGCCTGGACCTGCTGCTAACCAGCTGCGAACAAACAGTGCATGACATAGAAGTTCTTGAGCCCATGGCGCCAGTGATCACTCGACAATTATGGCCACTATAGACCTGCAGCTTCCATGTGTGCGTCCAGTGGCGCCAACATACAACTATTGGAAAGCTGACTTCGATGGCCGCATTCTAGCTGCCAATCAGCTTGATTGGTCTATGCCACAGGATTCATCCGTTGAAACTTGCTGGGCAAACATTAAAGGGGCAGTGCACTCATTGTGTGCGCAATTTGTACCCCTCAAGACTCGGAAAGTTGGACCAATGAAACCCCATTGGTTTGACAAAGAGTATAACCGACTGTCTCGACAACGGCGTCGACTATGGAATGCGTTCCTCCTGTCTGGCTCTGCCAATGACTATGAGGCATACAAGCGACAACGAAACTTGTGCAACAGCACAAAGACGCGAAAACGCCGTCAGTTTGAGGAGCAGCTTGCTTGCTCAGCTAAAACTGCCCCGAAGCGCATATTTGCGTACGTGAAGCGACGCCTGAAGTCTGCAGGTAATGTGCCGGTGCTAGTGGGTTCGAACGGACAACCACTAAGTTCAAGCACCGCGCGTGCGTCCGCATTAGCGGCGCACTTCGCTTCTGTATTCGCAACTAACCAAACCTGCGCGCCAAGCTCTGCCGTCGCCGCACCGACTGAGCTAACCGACTTGATCTGCGACGTCGCGGAGGTACATGGGCTGGTCAGCTGCCTAGACAGCACGAAGCCAGCTGGACCAGATGGTCTCCATCCGCTGATCCTCAAGTCCTTGTCAGCTGTGATCTCACCTGCTGTAACCGGCCTGTTCAACCGATCCCTGTCCATAGGCTGCGTGCCTTGTGACTGGAAATGCGCCGTTGTCAAACCGATTCCAAAAGGCGGTGACACACGCAAAGTGGAGAATTACCGCCCTATTTGTTTGACCGCAGTATTGTCGAAAGTTCTGGAGAAGATTGTGAAGAA